ATCTCCCACGAGAAGCCATACGAGCCGCCCAGGCCGCTGCCTCCCCCACGAGCATCTCCGCAGCCAGATGGTCCGGGCCGAGCGATTCGGGCCGAGCTGTCCGCCCCAAGGGCCACCGGAGAAGCCACCCACAAACCACCAACGGGACCGCCGAGGACGGAAGGCCGGGGAAGCCGAAGAGGCCGAAAAACGGTAACCAGTCGGCTCCACGTCCCCCGCGCCCCCATGCGTCCCGTATCTAGTCCAGGGGGGCTTACCGGGAGGGGGGGAGTCTCCGGACCTTTCAAGGAGCTTTCCAAGCTCCCCCTTTAGCCATTTCGGGCTCCGCGTTTTTCGGAGCTATTCACCGAAGACCGCCATCTCTCACGCATGCATAAGCCCCAGGACCTCTCCTCCTCTGCCTCCTTTGGAAACAGCCCTTATTTGCAATAGAATCCGTCGCTGGGCCAGCAATCAGATCTTGCTGGCAGAGTAGCAGAGTACAAAGCCCAGGAAGATGAAGAAGTTCTTCTGTTCTTTTCCAATCAGCAAGCCATTGCTTAACTGCTTGGAAGATAAGCTACTGCAGTTTTTTGTAAAGATTCCTATGGGAAAGCTGGAGTTCATGTGACTGGGTAATGTGGGAGGTCTTCAAAAGAAAGCAGGCAAAGTGCATGTACTACTGCTTAAAGTCAGACCCAAGTGAAGTAAAAGCAAAACCTAGCTGCACTGATGTGACTAGTCTGCTGCCTAGCTGAATTTACTTGTATTGTGTAGTGTGTGTATTCTGAGAATGGTGTTTGTTCCTGTTGATCTTGAGCTTCCAGATGCCTTTATAGAAAGGCATTCCAAAAGTTCCAAAATCAATAGAACAAAAGAGCATGCACAGAATATACACAACTAACATCAGCAAGCCATAATCAATTTAATATTTTTTTCAGAAATTTTTTTATTGCTGTTGGTTTAGTGGTACTTTTGGATTTTTTGATTTGATCTAATTAATCCTTTTGTAATTCATTTTCTTGGGTTTGGGAGATCTTTATAGAGATATTTTGGTTAAATGAATCCCACTTTTACTGTACTCTGAAATGTGTGGGTGGGAAGTCAGAAGGAAGGAATCTAGCTTTCTGGTTGTTGTATTTAGTATTATGAAATGTGTCAAGAAAATGGGAAACAATAGAATACAGAAAATGACCTGGTAGCAATGTTTAGCAGGTTTAATTGCTAAACACTAATATAGCAACTGTTAGGAGGAGAACTGGTAGGAGGGATGCAACCCGTACACTATAGGGAAAGGAAAACAGGTGGGTCTCTGTCATTCACAAATTAGAAAATCTATCTCAAATATAACCAGAAGTTAAACCAAATAGAATCATACTGCTGGAAGGATATCCAATCTTTTCTTGAAAACCTCCAGCAATGGAGCAACAACAACTTTAAATGTTCTCACTGTCAGGAAATTTCTTCTTAGTTCCATATTGGATTTCTTTTTAAGGAACTTCACACTGCTTCTTTTTCTACTCTCAGGTGCTTTGGAGAGTAAGTCAACCTCTTCTCTGTGACAGTCCCTCAATTACTTGAAAACAGGTATCATGTCTCCCCCTAATCCTTCTATTTCTTAGGCTAGACCATGGGTCGCAACCCGCGGCTCCAGAGACGCATGCGGCTCTTTGAGCCATCCCCTGTGGCTCCGGAGCCTCCTCCGCCATTTGCAGAGAGAGACAAGGAGAGAGAGGCACATGTCTCCCCAGGCGGGGCCGGGCGGTAGTCCTGGCTGCGGCGGCAGCCAGCGGGGGCATCACTCCCTGGAAAGCTGAGCCGGCCACGCGTCTCCCCGGGCCGGGCTGGGCGGCAGGCATGGCTGGGGCGGCGGCTGGCAGGGGCATCACTCCCTGGCAAGCCGAGCCGGCCACGTGTCTCCCCAGGAGGGGGCGGGTGGCAGTCCCGACTAGGGCAACGAGGCATCACTCCCTGGGAAGCTGAGCCAGCCATGCGTCTCCCCGGGCCGGGCCAGGTGGCAGTCATGGCTGGGCCGGCGGGGGCATCACTCCCTGGGAAGCTGAGCCGGCCACGCGTCTCACCGGGTGGCAGTCATGGCTGGGCCGGCAGCCGGCGGGGGCATCACTCCCTGGGAAGCCGAGCCGGCCACGCGTCTCCCCGGGCCGGGCCGGGCGGCACTCATGGCTGGGGCGGCGGCCGGCAGGGGCATCACTCCCTGGGAAGATGAGCCGGCCACGCGTCTCCCTGGGCCAGCGGGGGCATCGCTCCCTGGGAAGCCGAGCCGGCCACGCATCTCCCCCGGCTGGGCCGGGCGGCAGTCCCGGCTGGGGCGGAGAACGGGCAGCCACGTCCCTTCGCCTTCCTCCCGAGGCAGAACTCCGGCCTCCCGCAGCAGGCTGAGATAGGCGAGCCCGAGCGGCCGTCTACTGCCACCTCGGAAGATTTGCCGCAGCAGTTTCTTCTCCCCGTCAGCCTCTTCCTCCGCTCCCTCGGAACCTTTGCGCCAAAAGGCGGAAAGAAGAACGTCCCAGAGAGGGAGACGCGGGGTGGGGGGAGAGCACTCTTTTCTAAGGGGAGGAGAACCCAGGACGGCAGAGCTGCCCATACTTTAAAATTTTAACATGTATGGGAGAGGAGGATACACCGCAGTGCAAGGGCATTGTAGGGAAGGTGGGGGTAGGGGAGGAGAAGAGGGATAGGAAGGAAAGAAAACGAAGGAAGCTCTGTAGCCACCCAAGAAAAAGCAAATTTAAACACAGTAGCTGCCAGGGAAGGAGGAGGGAGGGGAGGCTTGGCAACTTGCTGGAAGGGACCGATTCGGGGTTCGGAAAAAGCGCAAATCTTTCTGGATGAAAGCGGGGAGGGGCGTTGGGGGTTCCGGGCTCAGAGGGAAGAAAATGAAGCTGATCCAGCCTCTTCAATCAAGTGCCCCGTTTCACGCATGCGCGCGCGCGCACGCATACACACACACACATTTTGCGGCTCCCAGTTTTTTCTTTTGTGAGGGAAACGGGTCCAAGTGGCTCTTTCAGTGTTTCAGGTTGCCGACCCCGGGCTAGACATATCCAGTTCCCTTAACCGTTCATCTCACGATTTAGCCTCCAGACTCCTCATAATCTTTGTTCCTCTTCTCTGCATTCTTTCTAGGGTTTCAACATTTTTTTTGTATCTTATGATTAGAACTGGATGCAGTATTCTAAATGTGATCTCACTAGTGCATGATAAAGTGGCATTATCACTTCTCATCATCTTGACGCTCTATCTGTTGATGCAGCCTTGGCCATTTTTGCAGCTGCAGCACACTGCTGGCTCATACTAGATCCCTCTCACAGTTATATAGTATTTGCCCTTCAACAGAGTTCTATTGTTTTCTATCACAAGCACAAAATTAGAATCAGAATCAGAATAGTGCTGGAAGGGACCTTGGAGGTCTTCTAGTCCAGCCGCCTGCTCAAGCAGGAGCTCTATAATTAGGAAAAATAATTAGGAAAAAATGTTTATTATGTTAAAGAACACAACAGCTGGACTGCTATCTGCTATTGTGCCACTTAAGTTTATAGATGTACATATTGTTTATTCAGCTGTTAACATAAAATTGGAGATATTACACTTGATCTTAATCAAAAAGCTGAGAAGTGATATGGGAGAAGAGGTAACACTTTTTTTATGGGCAGCAACAAGAAATAGGAAGACAGTAAGTTGATATGGGTTAAGCTGGCTAAATGAGGAGGGATGAGAATTCTAAAAAAGAAGGTGATGACTGCAGAACCAAGATTATAGGCAGCACTGGCTGCTAAAGCCTTGTTAGTTCCAGAGGAAACTAGGGTCAAGACAAGAAATAGAAGCAGTTGAAATAAAAAAATTGCCAAAGAAAAAAGTAGGTATGGAGGGGCAACAACAAGGGGCATATCTTCCTCATGAGGCTAGAGAAAACTACATCTTACCAGCCCAGGAGAGATTGCCAGCCAATATAAATGAACACAGAACATAAAATAACAAACTTAAAAGGCACCTTGGAGGTCTTCTAGTTTAACCCTCTGCATAATTAATGCTATTCCTTGTATTTAAATGGGGAGGGGATGTATATACACACACACTCATTCTCAGTTGCAGGAAGCTGCTTGTGATAAAACTAAATTACAAGAAGGGACCTGTTGAACTATGTGTTGGATCATTTCCTGTCAACACAAAAGCTCTGAAGATATACTGAATGTTAGTTTCAGTTAATATTTCACAGATGCATAATAATTGTGGAATTTTTCTTGGCTTACCATAAGAAAAAGTATCTGGAAGAGGCACACCATGACCAGCCAATTCTTGGAATGTCCAGAACTTGTTGACACAATTAAGTATGGCTTGTGGACGGTTCATTAGCCGGCAGCCTATCTTCTCCAGATGGCGAAGGACTGTAATATCACTATCACTCTGCACCCATGGTGTTGGTACACGAACCACCACTACTTGTGGGTAAGCAGTGATGAGTTCTCCATTGACCCGAAGACCTGCAAGAAAGAGTAACAAAAAGATGCAAATTTGATTAAAATCATAGTTAATAAAGAAAAAGCACTATATTTAATCTATCAGAATGGTACACCCAGTCCCCTGAGCTTTTGGAAAATGACATACAGCTGTTATATTATGTCATGCCCCATTGCATAAGATTTTACATGATTTTCACACAAACACCAAAGGTCCTGGTGGTCTGCATAAATAAAAAACATTATAAATTACATACTATGTACACTACAGTATAGATCAGCTGTTCCAATCTTTCTGGCACCAGGGACCGATTTTGGAAGAAAAATTGTCTTCCAGACCTGGGGGAGAGGGGAGGGTTTCACATGCAACCTAGATCCCGTACATACACAGATAAAGCTTCACTTCACTTGCCTGCCATTTGCATGGCCCAGTTCCTAACAGGCTATGGACCGGTACTGGTACCACGTGTTGGAGACCCCACAGTATTTACTGTACTTACAGCATATATACTATATCTTCTCTCTGTATGTCTTGAATGAATTAAAACACTAACAAGCCAGTTATAGGACACTGGAACTCTTAAAAAAACATAACTTAGAACAGCTCTGCTTTCTTCCAAGCTCAGTACAACACTTCCAACTATGGTGTGCACTTTTCTGAGTTTGGTATCTTTGAAATGGCAATTTTAAATTTGGAACATTTTGAACTTGGAACAATCTGCATGCTGATATTTGGGAAATTTTCTATTGCTGAATAGTAAATACCTAATTCCACTGCATCAGAACATGAATTCCTGACTTTTTATTCTTTTTTTTTTTTTTTAAGAAATTGTATTTTGTTGAATTGTATTGTGCAGTCCTTGGCACTCTCTGAAATTTACTGTTTGTTTTTATTACCCAACCACGTAAAGTCTTCAGTACTCAACTGAATTCTATTGTATTCTTCAATTGCTGTATTATGGCCTTTTTTGCCTTTTTGAAGTTTGGATACTATTTTATACATTCCTCTTAATGTATAGACAATTAAATCTGTAAAGGTTATGTGCCAATAGTCTTTCTAATTTCACTGCTTATTTTTGTTTTTACAATGATCTATGTAAGGTCAAGTCTTTTACTTTTGTCATGCACAAATTACAAATAACTATTACGGTCGTAGACCAGCAATAGCCATCATTTTTTACAATATATTAATAATAATAATAATAATAATAATAATAATAATAATAATAATAATAATAATAATAATAA